TCCAGAATCGCAGATTCGTCGCACCTCACTACTTGAAACATTTGTAGGAATTCTTTCGTCGTTGCCACAGTTCGAAACCTCAAAATAGGCTAACTAGACCTAAACTCGAAGGAGGCGTGTGGCGCAGTGGTTGGAGATGTCCTTCAACACACACGTGGAATCGATTCCCGCGCCCATGCCTCACCAAACCATTCATCTCTCCGTGGTTGACAAATTGACAAATTGCTATCAGAATTGTCCAGGAGAATAACAGCACTGACCTAGTACATCGGTAAGACATCCAGAGCCATTTTAGAAGCCAGATATATATTCATTCACTCACCTCCAATGATGCTTAATGAAGTAGAATGCATGGCGCATACCTCAAAGATTGATCAATACCGAAAGCTTTATTTTATCGTTTCGTTATTATAAAAAGATATCTATTGTTATTGTACATTAATATACTCCTAATATTCCTAATATATCCCTAATATTGTTGTATAACTTTGTATAGGTCTACTTAATCAATTTTGAAGTTCCGAACTGTGGCAACGACGAAAGAACTACTGCAAATGTTTCAAGTAGTGATGTGCGACGAATCTGCTATTTTAGATTATTCGTCTTCATTTAAGTTCTCTTTTTCGTTGTTGGAATCGGTAAGGGTTATTTGAATATTATCAGCGCTTCCTGAAAATTTCTTTATGCAAGATTTAGCTCTAAATAATCGTTTCGCATGTTTATCAGTTTTTGAGGGGCTTTACTGAGCTCACTGATACATTACAAGCCGAACTTTGGTTGTCAACACATTTCTTCGGCTTTATTTGTTTCATGTGACATATTGCTACCGAGATATAGCGCTGCTCGTTTGGTCATTCGCACTGTGGTCTGTTAATTTTCATGGTGCTTACGTTTTCCTCCAAGATGAGACTTACTTCACGCCTTAGTTAGTTAAAAATTCAGTAGAACTGTTCTCTTTTTAAGATCGTAATCCTTAAATATCGAAAAGCTGCCGTAAAAGGAAGTCAGGTTTCTAAAGCAGATGTGTCGCCATATAAAATGTTTACATGGATGATGGAGGACGTGGGTACCGTGAGGTGTTGTTTTGTACTTTTTCAACAATGTTTGGTAGTGCTCATGCATTATGGTGACTTGTATTTGGTTGGAGAATGTCGCGTGGTAACACAGAAGTGGGCCTTCCGATTATTTTTCCTTGGTTAACAAAAACACTTGGACGTTCTTATCTATAAGATTTGGATTTAATGAGGTTGAACGCAAGCTAAAATTGCGGTGGTGGGAATGTCTCATCTATTGATCGTAAGTGCATCTCTGCAACTATATCCCTGAAGTCTTCTTTTAAAACACCCATCTAAAGTTGGATATGTGTGCGATCTTCATGAGATGTCCGACTTTCACTCAACCTTGGCTTGAATAATCCAAGTGTTTCTTGGGATTGCTCATTTTTTTTCTGTTTACACGAGGCTGTAACAAAAATTTCGCCAATTGTCCACAGCTGTTTATTTTGTTGTGCGTATTTTCGTAGTCGAGTTAACTAAAATCTTCAGCAGTAGAGCCCCACTTGAACGAGGTAGTCTCACTTGGTATCGCCCTTTAATTCAGAACGGATGGTGATGGTCCGCTGATAATAATTAGCTTCCCTCTGGACAATCTATCCTGAAGCAATCGGTATTAGATTGGCTAGTATATAGTAGAGCAATACTTTTCTAAACTTTCTTTCAGCTAATTTCAGTATTCATACGAGAGCTGCTCCACTTTAGGTGAGTCGACTTAATGCGAATACGAAGAGCCACGTCTCAGGGATGAACGGCTGTGAACAGTTAACTAGAATTTTCAAGCCGATCATCATTTAACATCGGTAGCAAAATAGTCAACACGTGCATAAATTGTTGAGGTTACGCGAAGTTGATAAACCAGTTTTATTGTGCTAACATTTTGACGCCTTCGTCTTCATCAGAGCGGATGATACAAGTCTATGGTCCACCGTCATCATACCGAGGCAGTACAGCTCTGATGAAGATGAAGACGTCGAAATGTTAGCCGAATAAAACTAATTTATTAACCTGGTGCAAGCTCAACAATTTACAGATAAGTTAATTAGGATAATTGAGTCGCTTAAGGAAGAGAACACGTCAAAACGCTAGCCGAATAAAATTCTTGTGACAATCTCGTGAATCTTAACTCTTTTATTTACTGCCTTTTTCTTCTTAATGGCAGGGTATGTTTCGAATTATAACTCGTATGAAATGCTGAGATATTTGCAAAACTCCGGACCACAGGTGTATGCAGTGGGGAACGAACACGCGCTGTTGTCCTTACCGGGGAGCAGCGTAGTTCACCACTACACCATCCAGGTCTGACCCTCAGCATTTCATACGAGTTATAATCTCGTGTATGTTCAGAAGTCTAAAGAATATGCAGGGATTTGTTCTCAGAGTGATGACACTCCTCTATTACCACAGACTTCTTCTAAATGAAGTGAGATTATATGAGATACCACGATGAATTCATAATCTAGCGCGCGAGAAGCAAGGCGTTCTTGCTTAAACCGGCGCCTCTTTTTCTTTAGAAAGATTTAGGCCCGACTACGTATTTCTGCATATTTCAGAGGCTTATCACATTTATTGGCGCCGCAGTACACAACGTTCCATTCTTGTCAGCTGCAAAATATTCTTATTTCAAATCATTGAAAAGAGAAATTTGCAGCGTGTGAATTCAAATTTGAAACCTTCATAAATCGTACAGCGAAAAAAGCTTCAAACACTCGATCATGGGAAAATTCAGCTGGCATCAGCTCATATCCTTAGCGCTGGGTCTGAAAATACCTTCAGCTTCGATGAGGTCTTGTTCGCATTCGTTTAAATTGACAGAGGAACAACTCACCGTTAGTGATTGCTGCGATCGAAAGTGTCGAGCGCAGCGTACCACAATTACCATGAACCAACTATGGACCACTACAGTACTGCCATAGACAAAAGCACCCAGAAGTGCCACCCAGACTATCGCTGGAATCAGATCTTTTTCGAAATCATTACAGTACCGTGCACGCTGTCATGCCGGTTCAAATTTATATGTAGTAAAAGAAATCCCCCTCTGATCCACAAGAGACTGCCTGTGGTGGTGGCTACCCGGGGCAGTCTTTGGCTAGGCTGACGTCGTGATTCTAGGTGGCAATGGCTAAGCCAACAAAACTCCGAAAAAGTGGAAATTATGCTGGGGTCATCACAACCAGTGAGGACGAGCCGTTCAAGTATCCCTGCATCCAATTGAAAGAAATCGACCACCTTCATCATGTGTAACATTTTCAATCACCATTCTTCGTTTACTTTCAATGTTTTGGGAGCTCATTCAGATTCTACTAGTAAACTATTAAAGCGACAACTTGATGGTCGGAAAACAAAGAGCAAATTATAAAAAAGACGGTGTAAATAGTTAATTACTATCATGCTATCGACTTAGGTGCGTAGCAAATCGAAATCTAAAAAACCTCTCGTCTTTTCGACTTTTCGAGATTAATTTTTCTCTCCGGCTCGTTTGCGACTCTTTGTGCACCACTGTTGCTTAGAAAGTTTCTAAAAAGTGATTTGTAACTCTTTAATGCATATTTAGATCGTTTCCATCCATTCCTTACTTGTCTGCATTGCTAATAAAATAAAGAAAAGTTTAAAACTTGATTCTTACTTCAGCAAGGTAATCTCGGAAGGCCGACCTTCGCCAGTGGGTATCGACTTATTGCGTTCACAGACGACTTCTGTCGACTGAGATGACAGTACAGGAATAGTCGTGTATATTTTCGCTCATTTCCTCCTCAGAGAGAAAAGTAGCGCTACATGTTGAATAGTTCCATAGTGAAAATGGGGTGACGAATGGCGCAGTGGTAGCGATCATTACGACTAGGGCGCTGGTTCTACACCGCTCCGAGGCCAGCAAGCCTCGCACATACCTCCTGGTGTCAGATGACTACCTACAATCCACGTAAGTACGTCCAACCCAGGTATCCTAGGACTCCAGCGAGATTCGACTCGGCAAGCATTCAATTAGTTTATAACGAACACTAAACTGTTAGAGCAGCATCGGAACCAACGCGCCAAGAAAAGGTCGAACACCTTCGTGGATGATGGATGCGAGCAAACGAATCGAGTGCATGAAGTGATGGTATTTGCACAACATGTGAAGTCGGTTCATTTAAGAAATAGTGAAAAAGAATTGTTAGGTATTAGAAACTCTCCCCAATTATTCCTAAACAAACATAAAAAGCGGTGAAGCCAAACGATTTCTGAGGAAGCGGTTTCTCTTCGGCAGTCGGTTGACAGAAATTCTGAATTATCTAGGCAAAACAAAAGTGGGCAGCAGTAGCTCTATCTTTTCCTGCTAACAATCGCCTCTTTTTTGTAAAATAAAAATTTCTAACTGTTGTTAATTTTTATTTACTGCCTAGTATTTTTTAAAGGCAGGATACTATGTGAAATATAATCACAACGCTGCTGAGATATCTGTAAAACTCCAGGGCGCTGGTGTCTACGGCGAGGACTGCACACGCTATTTACCTCGAAAGGGTAATAGCGTGTTCGGTCTCCACCGCACACACCAGCGGTCTGGAGTTTTGCAAATGTCTCAGCAACGTTTTCGTTAAAACTTTCTACTTGTTACTTTCTAAAGACGAATAATTACTGCACAAATTTCGGCTAACTTGTCGAAGTATAACAAAATCTGCTTTGTGGTCAATGGAGCTTTTGCCAGTAGATCTTTTTTCGTCCCCGCAAATGATTGATCTCGAGTTTCTTTAAGAATAACTCACAAGTAGAATAGTGTGGTCGTAAAACAGTCTTATATAATCGCAATCCTTTTGAATTCAAAAGCGTTTGGAAAAAATTTCTCGTTGCCGCTATTCCGATGGGAATCTGCGTGGTGAATATAAAAAGTGTCAATCGTCCGCCTAGTTTTTAAATTAAATTGAATTCGAGCACTGAAAGGACTAAGAGGACTCTTAATTTTTATAATGATTAACTTAAGCTCCTACCTGTTCGTGTAGTGATATTGAACTGTTCAGACATGGTCTTCATTTGGCCAGCAATGAGAATTTCGATTTGTTCTCCGGCAAAAGATTGTGGATCGAAGGCGGCCGAAAGGTAGAATACCGTCAACAGCACGCAGAAGCTCACCATCACGATCTAAAAGCAGGCAATGCACACTCAGCCTTCTTCATAGGAGAATGGACACATGAAACCGAAACTTCTAGAGGAATATGCAACTTCCTCGCTATAGTTGTATACATAGCCTGTATAAAATACCTGCAACCATTTTCGATTACCCACAGTTTCCGAGCATATTGTTTTCTATTGTATAAACGACTAACACTGATTATTGTGAACGGCTGAAGGAAAGCTGGCTGCTCGCGTACCAATCCATACACTAAGCTCAACACCGCCAAGCTGTCCGACACCAAAAATAGCAGTTGCCAATTCCATTGCACCTCAAAAGTGTAACGTAGTAACCACGCAATAAGACCATTTAATAATCCAATATCATCACTCGGGTCGTCTATAAACCCTAAAACCGAGACAAGACGTATAAAATGATTAGAAAATAAAGTCTTTCATACTTCATTGGATTTGACCAATCGAATTATCAAATTTGATAGGATAATCATCGCATAGAATATCGCTACTCCATAAGCACAATTCTATAAGGAACCTGTTTGGAAAGTAAGTTTTTTAAAATCAGTTATGTTCGCTACACAGAAGTGGTTACCTTGACATGGATCAGGCTACAGCAACACTTATCCGTCTGTTCATTTTGATCGACAGATATCCTCAATGAAATAACCATAGCTACAAAATTCTGAAATCATCTTCCGAAATCGGTGAGATCTAAGATGGTGTTGATCGCAGAATGAAGTCCAGTCTGGAGTTTCACGACATGAATGATGTAGTTGTCACGTGACGAATGAATTACAAAAACATGACGAAATTTTGAAAGGAATGGCCGAAGTCACGCATAGAGATTCGTTGAGGTATGATATAACAAAGTGAACCAGATGTGGGAACAACGTTGAATTCGCTTAATTATATAGGAGAATTATTTATCTACACCATGTTCATGTATTCTAAGGATCTCTTTCACAGAGGGATCTCACCCCATTACGTCGCGAGTGAACGAGGAGCGTCCCAGGTGGCAGACAGGGGTTAATCGCGGAGCAAAAGCGACCTTATGCTTCGGTAAAAAACAGATGGATCCAGAAAATGGGCTCCCTTTTGGGCTGTGCAGACATGGCATATACCTTCCTTGTTGAGGAGGACACTTCCATGCATACGTGCGCGGGTGTGTTCTCGTTAATGCGGATCGTATTGTACAAATCAATTCGGCCAAAAGCCTGCAATCAATTAACAGTGGTGAAGCATTTGGGAAGTGGTTAGAAGTAGCCTCCAACAAGTACAATGCAGACAGGCGATAAAAGAAGATCTCAAAGAAAGTTTAGCAACGGTTATGGTCAAAGTTGCAAAGGTTGAAAAAAGCATTCGCAAAGCCCATCGAAGCTCGCCAGTTACAAAGCTAAGATGATTGCGCTTCGACGCCCAGCCGGAAGAGTTACACCTTCCAGAAAGGCAGTGAAGAAAACCATTCACCATTACTACTCTAATCTCTTCAATAGCCACGTCCGCCTGCCCTAATATGAAATGAAGCAGGTTGGACATGTCGCAGCACCGATTCCCGCTTCCTAAACCCAACATGCTATTTCGCCGGTGAAGAATCGAACAACACCAGATGCAGGTAGGATAAGAACTGAACACCTCAAGGACTTTTTGCCAGTCATCATAAGCACTCTTGCTCGGCTTTTCACAGACGGCTTTTCACGCAACCTGTCAGAATGCAAGATTCCTATTCGATGCAAAACCAGCAAGAGCGAGTTGTTCAAGAACGGCGACCTCCACGATATCGGCAATATCACCCAATCTGCTATCTACCGCCTATAAACGTCTCACTCAGTGATCCCAAACTAACTCTAGTGAAACGCTGGCGGAAGGACAGCCATGTGATCAAGCAGAGAATCGAGAAGCATTCATTACGGTAGATCCACGTGGAAACAAGATTCATTGAAAAGTCGCGAGAGAATAAAAGACCGCTGTGTCTAAATTTCATCGATTTAAGGAAAGCTTCTGACTCAGTTGAGCTAGAAGCAGCCATGAAAGCCTTGGACAGCTAGGGTGTCCCTAATCAGTACGCAGAGGTCCTTTGTGAACCACATAAAAATTTCGCAAAATAAAAGTCACCGTAGTGTAAAGATATTAGCATCGACGTTAAAAGAAAAGTTAAATGAGACGATACCATACTACTGCCAAAATTTTTTGCGGCCTCCTTTAAGAATGTCATGCGAATGCTGGAATGGGACTAAGTGGGAATGAAAATCGATGGTTGACAATTACATCATCTTCGCTGTGCTTATGACATCGTTCTTATAACACCAAACATTTGCCAAGCGGATCAAATGCTTGCTCACTTTGATAAAACCTATGGAAAGATTGGTCTTCGACTAAATCTCACAAAAACGATGTTCATGAGGGACGGATTGGTTTCGCATGTCCCATTCGACGGAACGAATATCTCCGAATGCTGCAGTTATCTCTATCTAGGTCGGAAAAACAACATGTTGAACAACTTAGCTCCAGAGTTAAGGAGCTGAAGTCAGCAGCTTTGGAAGCTTTGAAAAACATCGAGGATGTAGCGAAAAGAACGAGGAACCCGCGATCCCGCGCCCTGCTTTTCGACTCCACGATTCTTGCTGCCTTAACTTATTTCTCAGATACCTACCTGTTTGCTACGTATGGAGTATACATCACTCAGCGTTACAGAACGCGCAATCGATGGGGCGATGCCAGCCATGGGGGCTCACGTGTCACGCAAGTGACTATAAGGATCCAAGACTATGATCTACCTCAATAACCAAGGAACAAAAACGGTGTTTCACATTTCAAGTTGCGAAGGATAAGGTGGGACACGTAATACGTGTGAACGACAACCGATATGCAGAGCAGTTAGTGACTGGATTACTCGGGATTTGAAAAGCGCAGCAAGAAGACCACCGATCCGATGGTTAGAGTTTTTCACAACAGCCTTATAAGAAAGACATGATGCTCAACGATTTCCTAGAGTAGGCAGAACTCACTGGACTACTCTTGAACGTGACACGGAGAAATGAAATGTTTACTGGCGCCGGCTCCAGTCACTCACTGCTCAGCGGGCAACAGATAGTCGAGTTGATGCTTATGCATTAATGTCTATACATCGCTTATATTATTGGACCCAATTATGACGAGTCCCCAACTGGCTGCCTGTAGTTGGGCGACTTCCAAATGTGTTGAATGAAGGTAACACTAGGCCAAGTGTCCACAAGTGTAATTGAAGCTGAGGATGAGCGCTCCCTTATTTCGCAGTGACTCGGCTAGTAGCAGTGCCACGTATCCAGGCAGTCGAGCGATTTTCGAGATGGCCACCAGATGTAATCATTCACTAGCCATATGGATCGTAGGGAAGTGCAATCGCTTTAGAAGGAGGTTGACATCAGGTCCCTGGTTCCTGACAATGGTTTCACTGTAAAAGAATTTAATTTATTCCCACTTTTCGTGAGAAGTTGAGCCTGCAACACATTGCATTTCCAACTGAAGTGAAAGGCATTTCACTCAGATACGAATTAAAGTATTCACACCCAATGTCTAAACACTTAAAATTTAATCTCCTCGAAGTGTTTATAAAATGCTTTTGAGTTGTCAAGCAACTCGTAGAATTTAGTCGTTCCAAGTTGAGAACAAAAGAAAATAATGCTTACGCCAAAACAGTAGTAGTTCAGTATCGCATTTATAGGAACAGCCTTCTCTGATTTGGCTGCTAAATCGCTGCTCTTCCTTAGCTCAGTAATGTGAAGAACTAAAAGTGACTAAACGACATCTTTTAAAAGCAAGGAATGACAAAGCAACTCCAACACGAAGGAACAAAAAGGTCGAAAATTGAGGCACCAGGAATGGGTAACAACAAAAACATTCATGCCTTTGTTGTCTTATAGGCTTGAATAATTTCGCTATAACTCCACGACGGCTCAATTTAAGGAAATATATAGAGGTCGAATTCCATTGGTTGCTAGCTGTTGAGATGGACAGCTCCAGTGGGGTTAGCCGACGGACGGTAATCGTCTAGTCAAACAAAAAGCAAACGAGAAGAAGAGAGTCGGATGAAATAGAACGGAATTTGGTGAAAATACTTGCTTAGGCGGCAACGGGAAGAAGGACAAATTTCCACTAACAGCCTACTACTCATCCCTTCCAATGGGCTAAATTTTTCTTCGGGATTGTGCTCCTAAATAGTTGATCAAGTTACTCCACCGCGGCATTCCAGATAATGAATAAATCTGTGGTAAATTATGCAGTGAAAACTCAAATCCTCCCAAGTGAAATTTTCTCCATCTAGGGTCCAATTTATGAATGAATTCCCTGATGCTTCGTTCCATCTTCAAAACGGAAAACCGCTGAGAAAACAAAACTTCCTCGTTTTTTTTCTGTGAAGCTATATCGTTTTCAAAAATTTCAAGTTTTTATTGTTATGGACAGGTGGGTTATCATTGCACAGAATATTCGCTTGAATTCGAGATTTCGGATAATATGTATACTTCATTTTTGGTTTATCCAATGTTAACGTATTCCATTCCATAAAAATATTCTTTCCCACCCCGTGAGTAGTGGAATTCATGCTATCCGTTGCCACAGAGTTTTTAAATAATTGGAGACGACCGCAACAGCCGATCAAACATACGGCGCAATCCAGGGAGCCTTCTCGTTCCTCTGAACGAAATCGCATTTGCATAATTGCTTCATTGCTCGATGTGTGCTCGATGTGCTTGATGTGTGTGTGAGTCTCAACGATGAAAAGCTGAAGAAAATACGAATTGTAAGGTGAAGAGGCTTAGCACAAGTCGTGATTGAATAAGTACACTTGTTACGTGCAAAGGACGTTTAGATATCATCCTTTCCATTGCAACTGATAAAGTCGAGATCCACGGGCTATTATTCATGTGTTTGAAGTCAAAATATAAACCCGTATTTACATCGCACAGAGCCAAAAGTAAACACATCTTTCAGCTAGCGCTAAAGTTCATTAGACACTTGATTTTTTTCTCTCCTTTTTGTTTTTCCTTCCATTTCCTGGAGTCTCAGCAATCGTGTTTGCTGTTATCTCAGATCGTCACCACATTCTAGCTACCGATTACGAGTGGTTTTCGGTATTATCTAATCTTAACCTAGGTTTCAGATTGGAGATGTTCGGCCTCTCTTCAGCTCAGAAATCCCAGAAATGGAAATAAAATATCCGCTTCAAATAATAGTTCGATAACCAGAAGCGGTAGACTATTGAGCGAGTGAAAACATTAGCGGCTGCTGTTCTTACATCAAATGTTTCGTAAATTCAAATACATTCCAATTCTTGCAAATTTATTTTTTGAAGAATTATGAAATTACATTGGCACTCAAAAAAAAATAATTCTGGTCTGTTACAACCCTTTTTTCATCAACCTGCTATATTCCGAAATACTGAAGCACATTATGGAGCAAATAGCACAGTGGTAGTGATGTCGGTCATGACGAGCATGATATTATTTCGATTCCACTGCAGGCCAGCCAATCTTCTGATCTCTCCAGGATCAGAAAATTGGTACCGGACTTGTCCGGAGCAAATAACTTTCTGCAATTTAATTGGGAACGCCCCAATCCGGCTATCTCAGGACTACAGGGAGAATCGACTAGAACAGCATTCTATGACATTTTCCTTCTCTTTCTTTTTCTCTTATGACATTTCATTTCAATTCTTTATGACATTAGAGATGAGATGAAATTCTTCAAACAGCGAATGGTCATATAACAAAAATGGAAAGAACGAAAAGCACCCTAGCTGTCGAAAAAGTTTTGCAAATATCTCAGCAACGTTGTGGTTGTATTTCGCTTAGTAACCTGCCATGAAAATTATAGAAGGCAGAAAACAAAACGTTGAACCTCGTTATGCTGAGACTGCAGTTATAATCACAATTTTAACTTATTATTTACTGCCTATTCATCCTGCGCTCCGGAGTTTTGCAAATATCTCAGCATCATTGAAAGTTATATTTCGCAACATACCCTGCCATTAAAAAAAGAGGCAGTGAATAGTAAGTTAAAATTATTTCCTCTTTACTTCATCGTTTTGCCTATTACTCGAAAAGGTACTCGTCCTCCTACTTTTCCGCAGTAAGTTGGAATACGTATGGAATAGTACTTTTGGTTGCACTTTAGGAAAATGTGCTTTTGTATGTCCTTTCTGTCTTTAAAACTCTGCTACACTCAATGCTGTAGAATGGCTTGAATAGGCTTAGTAGTGAACGATTTTTGGTACCTTATCTCTCAAGTGAAGCGAAACAATTTGGTATCGCGCGGCGAGCTACTGAGAGATAACTTGAACATAAAACAAATCCAAGCGTATTTCGATATCTCGGACCCGTCATTCATGACGGCCCTCGAATTTATCATGTGGGTTCGGCGCACACCTATGAATTTGTCTTTTTCAGGGACCCAAGCCGAGTTGATTCCCTTTCGTTAGCTCTGTTAAAGCAGTCCTAGGTCTTCAACACAGACACTTAACAACCTTTAAACCTTTAAGGATTAGATGGAGCGTTCTCAAATAAATATAGCCCCAATTTCCCGAGTCTAGTTGGATGGGACGCCTTGTCAGCTCTTTTTAGGATTGAACCAGAGACATTGTGTGCATTACCGCACGTCATCCCCTCCTACTAGGTGTCCCACGCCCAATAGCGAAACGCGTCAAGTGATCAAACGAAAATGTTAGTTCCTTATCTCTTAGTTAGAATAATGAAGAACGTTCAATCCTTAGTGCTCAAGTTCACTGTTTCACAGACTCTCTTGTAGCGTTGTTCACAATCGAGTCATTCCAGCACGCACCACTGAAGTTTCTTTTCATCATATCTAATCCACCAGAGATTGGCAATGGCATGTGCTCGCTAGAAAGTCATGACCTTTATTACACTTTCATTTAAAGCCTTATAGAGAATATTCTCCATTAATATTCTCTCCTGCATTCTCTATTTGTCTTGCACCATACTACAGCTGACCGATGGCCCTTGCTCGCTCATGAACAACACCACAACGAAAAAGGATTTGAGCCATTTGAGAAAAAAGAAGCACAAAGGCTGTCGGTGACGACCTGGGGCAGACTTTGGCCACGCTGTACTCGGGACTCCAGTGAAGCACAATAGCTAAACCGGCAAATCTCCAGAGAATAGAAATTATGCTGGGGGCCGCACAAGCAGTGAAGACGGGCCGTCCAAGTATCCAAGTAAGATGCACATATTAAATGTTGCGTTTATAGTACAAATTTATTAACGTCAAACACCCGCATACTTCCATGAGTTTCCACATATTATTGCAGAATGCAAAGAAAATGTTACAGAACAGAATAGAAGTTGTAATTCGAGCATGATATTTCCAAGCACTATCTTTGAAAATCACATATTAGCAGTCAGCGCTACTCATCGTGCCCAAGGTCGTTGTGGTTAGTGAACTGTTCAAGGAAACAAAACCCGTGCCTTAAAAGGAATGTCCCTTAGTATTCTTCTTTTTCTTCTTGAATATCGAAGAGCTGAGACGAAGGTGGTCGTGATGCTGGTCGCTTTTTCGAGGAACGCGTTATCGGCCGCAAATTTGCCCACAGTGGAGAGGTGAGGTGACGGAATAGCTAAAAAACACTGACAATCTCCACACAACACCGAAGGTCAAGTGAGTACTGATAAGACAGTGATCAGTGCTAAGATCGTTAAAAAGCGGTCAGTTATGACAGTAACCAGAAGAGCGCAGTAATTTGTATAGACGTCCCTCGTCTCAGTCTGTCGCAATCTCATTCGCATCGATCTAATGCATCACGCAGAATGCGTCGCCTTTTTCATTAAACTGCATCCGTAGCATAAGTTTTTGAAAATATCTGAAGTGAACCAGTTTTAAAGTGTGGGATCGCCATCTCACTCACTGATAGATAGTTTTACAGTGGTGCCTTAGTTCCTCTAAAAAAAGTGACTACTGTGGAGTTCAAAGAGATAGCGTTTCAATCGACAACTCCATTACATTATGGTATTGCTCCCAAAGCAGAAAACTGGAGGGAAATGTAGATAACAATGTGCTATGCTCCTAAGCAATTCTTACGCATGAATCTTCCTAGAAAGAGTCGTGTAGGCGTGAACCCACAGTAATTACAAGACTATTTTTGTAAAAATAAAAATTGTCAACCTTAATCTCGATTTCGGCTATACTTCTGCAATTCTCCGATGTTCTACGTTGTTGGTGGAATTGTTGACTTTCGTACAATTCCGAGATGGTGCTGCGCAATTGTTCATCACCGCAGAAGTCGATTATATAGAATATTGTGATCCAGAAAACTTCTACACACCATTTGTGAAGTCGACTGATAAGAGCCTGTTTGGCTGCAGCATTTGTCAGTTCTGATTCTGATTTGGCTATCTGAAATCGTCACATTAAGAAAATGACCATCTAATTCATAAAATTCAAGGACACGACTTTTTTTCATAGAGATGAAAACCTTGACGTGTAAATACCAACCATATTATCCGACGCCTTTCTAATGATAGAATCTTGTCCCTGCGAGCACTAATAAAATCTCCAACTATTCGTCTGGTACTGTATCGGCTTGATAAGCTTCCCTCGTTCTCTCGGAAAAGAAGCAGCACATTTTTCTCATGAGGTTCATTGTTTCCACTGCTTTCAGCAGCAGTGTGTATGTCCACAAGTATTCAAGCTCTGCGGTGATGCTCTCCAAGTGTCTTTAGGCTTTATTTGTTTAATATAGCTCTAACTATCTCCCTCTACTACCGATGCAACTGATGACTTCTGTTCGAAAAAAGTGACGAGCAGGATAGGAGGGCTCAGTTAACATACACATAGACACATATGCACACACACATACACACACAAACAAACAAAAACATATGTACATGCAAATATTACATAGAAATTAGAAAAATTAGAAGTCATTCTGACGACGTATCCATTGATAAATCGCTCGTTGGGAAAACTCCCCTCACTCGTTTCCGCCACTCAATGAATTCCGCTTGCGCAAGGGACACCTTCACTATCAATTATTTTGGGAAGATGTCTCTATTTTTACTATTTTAGACGAGAACGTAGGTACGATGGCAAAACAAAATGCGGCCGGGCGTATCTTCAATTTTAAGTGAGTTTCCGGATGGAAACGTGGAATTTGCTCTTAACATCAGCAAGGATCCTTTGAGGAAGGCCTTGTAGTTATGACATAAACTAGCAGAAGACAAATCAACTGCAGCGATTTTGTTCAATCACACGAACATTTACCTCTGATTTCTCCATGCTTGTTGAAGCTCGGTGTTCGCAATACATAACTGGCGAGCTGTCGTCAAATTACTGAGATTTGGAACCACGTGAAAACCACGACTAGATGCAGGGCAGCTCAGAGGCGATCCACGTGCTAGGAGAGAGCGAGCAGCAACGAGCGACTGGGCGCTATTATATGAATCCGGCCTCTATGGTGGAGGCGTGGCGCTGGGTACGCCCAGGGTACGAACGACTTGAGCTCTTCGTTCGATGCTGTTAATGAATGCTATCATAGCGTCAGGGACGTCGATCGCTTATCAACAGCGATCTTCCTATTAATGATTGAAAAGCTATGTGTGCTCTAAGCTAGATGATATTTCTACTTTGGATTAGAAGAAAAACAGCACTCCAGTACAAAGATGTCCTGCTGTTGGTCATTTACCCATCTATAACCTCGTTATGATCGTATGGGCAGCATAAGAAATCGGAAGAAAATCGTTCGCAAACTAATATCTTCTAAAAAACCGGGTTTTTAAAGAAACGTTGGCTGAACATAGTGAATTCTGCCACTGTGCAGTGTACGACTAATTGCACCTTCTTATTAAGACTTCTCTACTGATATCAGTGTCACTCACATTCAGGGAAAAAAATGACCTTTAATTCGCCGAAGATAACGGACAGACATGAAAAAAGCTAAATGCTAAGTGCGTGGAGCAAGACCTATGGGATTATTCGGCACGTGTTCCGCATGTGAGCTTTCTTCAGCACTCGCCTCAACAAATGAGTGGTATGACAAAGCTGCGCTTCTCATAACACCATTTTCCGGACATTTACTCTCTCAATACTAATGTTTCTTCTTTTGAATACAAAAATAACTAACACGTATTCAAACTGTTGAGCTTGCACGAGGATGACTGACAGATTTATTCGGCTAGCGTTTCGACGGCTTCATCTTCACCAGAGCCGATGGCCCGAGTCGCTAGTCCATAGTTGTTCGTCTTGTCAATGTGGCGTCTGTAGTCGTACCGAGACGGATCTTTTTCAGTGGAATACCGCACTAATGAGGCATGCTCACCCGGTAGTGCTCTTTTATCTTTTACCCGCCGACTCGGGTCATCGGTTCTGATGAGGACGAAGACGTGAAAACGTTAGCCGAATAAAGCTATTTATCAGTCTCGTGTAAGCTCAACAATTTAAATACGTATTGACCACTGCTTTGCTAATAAGGCTGAATGACGTTCGGTTTCGAAACTATTTTGCTGTCCACAAAAATAACTATTTGATCCATCTTCATATGTCGCGAAGATGTCAGCACTTCCTTCAATTGTTTCATTATCACGCAATCTTTATCAAAAGTGGGCGGATTAGAGTATGTATTCGAGTGCCACAAGAGACTGTTACGCTCTCCACTCATTGACATTATTGATTATAGTCGGTTACGATTTTTCCTGGATTCGCGGGATAATCGCCATAGAGACGTCTTAAGTTTTCCCCGTGGACAGCCCTTGCTTTTGTGGCTCAGAAGAAAATTGCCGCTTGGCGACTCAGGACGACAGTGATTCTTGTGACGGCAAGAAATCCTACCATTAATCTACTGACCAGTCGATTACAATGCAATAGGCAGAATTCCTGGGCAAACGTGCCAGCAATGCTCACAATGACAACTTGCTGCTATGGTTTGTTCACAGCACCATCCTCTGTGTTTTTCAATTACTTGTTTTCATAATCTACTATTTCTTTGTGTTGAAAGTATTAAGCACGCACTTTTAGTAATACACACGAGGGCGTACATACCAAATGGTTTTTGAAGGAATTATAGTGTGATGAAAATACCTCGGCTGGATACATAAAGTACGTAGTGTTTCAAAACATCTTACTTACGCGGATACTTGGATAACCCGTCTTAACAGGTTGCGCGGGCCCCAGCATAGTTTCCACTTTTTTGAGGATTTGCTAGTTTAGCCACTATGGTATCTCGAAGTATCGAGGTCAGTCTTGCTATAGTCCACCTCAGGTAGTCATCACCACAGGCGGTCGCAGCCCTTGTGGTCCAGAGGAAGATTTGCCATCATGCAAGTAGTTTGATACGTGGACGGTGATGGATGTGGTATTGGTTTACTCTTAGCTGGGCTTCCAAATTGAAACGTCGGACTTCTTCTCAGCTTAGGAAGCTCTACAGAGGATGAACCCCGCTGTGCATGGCAGCACGACGCCCGGGAACACCTCCCAGCCATGGTGTGGCTGTAAAGCGTTGGGAGGCTTTGAAATATCACTCCTTTGAAATTTTGCTTTCCACCTAAACCACTAAAAATGAAGGGTTACCTACCAAATAATTATGAAAATTTCAAATGTACGTGGCTTTATAATCGACTGTACCTTGGCACTTCTTAGCAGAGAAGTACAACGAAAATACCTACATAATTCTGACTGAAAAGTGTTAACTCTTTATTAAAATGTTACCCACTGAGTCTAAATAGCTCCTTAAGGACTAGAATCCGCTTTCAGAAAAACATCTTTTCCAGAATTGTATGGTAACAAAGCACAATTGTGTTAGCTTTATCAGGGCCACATGAAAGACATGTGATTCAAATAGCACGAAAACTATGTCAACCTTCATTTTTGGCCAAATATATCTCAGTTCACTTCAAAATTTGCTAATTAAAATGGAAATCATTAACATACACATATTTTTAGCAGTAATAGACAAGTTTTCCTACACCGTGATAAAACGGTGATCTTAAGAACCCCATTGAGTACTTTGTCCTTGTTAAATGTACTTCACAGGCTGTTCACGAAGAGCATCTTTTTGCGCGTATCGAAGACCTTGGATGAGGTAAAAGCATTTGAGCAAGCAGTATTCCACCAAGGATTCTGCTGCATGGACCACATCCAAACCTGACATAGAAGTCTGTCGATAATGCAATTTGCTCCTTCTCCTAACCTTTATCGGCTACGAGAACGCGTTTGACAGCGTCGAAACGAATGCACTCCTATTAGCGCTCGCAGACCAATGAGTGGACCAGCTCTACATATTAACGCCAACAGATTGTTATTAGAACTTCAGCACAAAAATACAGCTTTTCCATCGACATTTTACCATACCCATAGAGAAGGAGGTTCTACAGAGTGACACGATATCACAAAAGCTGTTTACTGCCACACTGGAGTGGACAGTGAAGCAACTCGGTCGGAACGAGAAGTGCACACGTATTGATGGAAACATCCTATCAAACCTTTGTTTCATGGATCATGTCGTCCTCTTCTCGAAGAGTACCAGTTAAGCAAAAACGATTTCCAATGAACTCAACGAAGCGTGAAAAAGATCAAACTGCACTTAATTGCTACGAATACCCAGTTCAAGGGGAACCACCTATGGAGCGAAGATGGACAAATCGAACTGGATGGATTCTGATTAGAGAAACCATCTCGTACGTGTACCATGGACGTTCGAAGA